CAATGTGAAAATCTGTACCAAAAAAAATACTAATAAAACAATTTCAAATGTTTTCTTTATTCCAGATCTAAAGACTAATCTACTAAGTATTGATTAACTCTAAGAGAAGGAATATAAGATTCTAATTAAGGCTTGAGTTTGCAATGTTGAAGATGAAAATTTGGGCTTGATTGCTAAAGTCAGAATGACAACAAATCGAATGTTTCCACTTTATCTTCAAAATACCACTTCTTCATGTTTCTTTTCAAGATTGAAAGAGGTGGCTTGGCTTTGGCATTTCTGATATGCTCACCTAAATTTTGGTGGTTTGAAAACTCTACAGCAAAAGTAGATGATGGCAGAACTTCCATAATTTGATTGTCCATCAGATGTTTGTAAAGATTGTGTTGTTAGTAAACAACACTGTAACACTTTTCCCAAAAGAAATTCTTGGAGAGCAAAGAAAGTTTTAGAACTGGTGCACTCTGATATTTGCGGCCCAATTAATCGATCTTTAAATGGAGGTAAAAAATATATAATCATCTTTATTGATTATTATAGTCGAAAAATTTGGGTTTATTTTTTGCAGGAAAAATCGAAGCTTTTGTCCTTTTAAAAAGCTTTAAAGCACTTGTTAAGAAAAAGATTGGAAGTCTAATAAAAATTCTTCAAACAGACCGTGGTGGAGAATATAACTCATAGGAATTTATAAAATTTTGTAAGTCTGATGGCATTAAAAGGCAACTTACAACAACATACACACATGAGCAAAATGGTGTTTGCGAGAGAAAAAATCGTACCATTTTGAATATGGTTCGAAGTCTGTTAAAAAGGAGTGACATTCCAAAAAAAATTTGGCCTGAAGCAATTAATTGGAGTATCTATGTTTTGAACAGATCTTCCACATTTGCTGTTCAAAACATGAGTCCGGAAGAAGCTTGGAATGGATATAAACCATTAGTATAATACTTTAAAGTTTTTGGATGCATTGCTTATGCTCATGTTCCATATGAAAAAAGGAAGAAGTTAGATGACAAATGAGAAAAATGCATTTTTTTTTAGTGTTAGTGATCATTCTAAAGTCTACAAGTTGTATAATCCTATCATTAAAAAAAATTTATTAGCCATGACGTGATTTTTGATGAAGCAAACCTTTGGAAATGGGATAAAAAAATTATTCAACAATAAATTCTAGTTGATTTTATTGCTGAAAACGAAGAAAGACAACAACCTTTGGTGAATGATCATCACATGACCAATGAGGAACAACCATTGGTTACTCAAACCCCTCCCAACGACGATGAACAACGACCTCAAAGAGTTAGGAGAAAGCCAACATAGATGACTGATTATGAGGTAACTGGAATTGAAGAACCACTAACCCATTTTGCTTTTTTCTCAAATTATGATCTTATGTCTTTTGAAAAAAATTATAAAATAGTCAAAATAGAGGAAGACAATGGATGATGAGATAGCTGCCATTGAAAAAAATAGTACTTGGGAGTTGGTTAAACTTCCAAAATGCCAAAAATCCATTGGAGTAAAGTGAGTCTACAAAACAAAGTTAAATGAAAAATGAGAAGTTGATAAATTCAAAGCACGTTTGATTGCTAAAGGCTACAAACAAGAGTTTGGGATGGATTATATCAAAGTTTTTACACTGGTAACAAAGCATGACACAGTTAGAATGATTATTGCATTAGCAACTCAAAATTCATGGCCTGTTTTCCAACTAGACGTGAAATCGGCTTTCTTACATGGAGATCTAAATGATCAGATATTTATTGAACAACCTCCAGGTTATATTAAAGTTGGAAATAAACATGAAGTGTATAGACTAAAGAATTTCTTGTATGGTTTAAAACAAGCACCTGGGGTTGGTATGGTCGAAATGAAACTTATTTTTTGAAGGAAGGTTTTTAAAAATGTCCGTATGAACACACACTTTTTATAAAATTAGAAGATGATGGGAGGGTGCTTATGGTTTGTCTTTATATAGATGATTTAATTTATACCGATAATGATATAACCATGTTTGAAAAGTTTAAGAAGTCTATGATGATCGAGTTTGACATGAGCGATCTTGAATTGATGCGATACTTTCTTGGCATAGACGTGACTCAATCTGCTGGTGGCATATTCATTTCTCAAGAAAAGTATATGCAGGAAGTCTTGAGCAAGTTTCAAATGAAGAATTGCAATCCTACTAGTACTCTAATGGATACAAGAATGAAGCTTGTTAAAAATCCTGAAGGAAAGACGGTAGACAACACTATTTACAAGCAAATTGAGGGAAGCTTGATGTATTAAACCACCACAAGGCCATATATTATGTGTGATATGAGCAAAATCAGCATATACATGGAAAGTCCTAAGGAAGTACATCTTATTGCTGCAAAAAGAATTCTCTGAAACTTGCAAGGTACTTCTAAATATGAACTGTTCTACAGGAATGATGAAAAATCAAATCTATTTGGTTTCACGGATAGTGATCATGCTAGAGATTTAGATGATAGAAAAAATATAACTGGTTATGTTTTCTTAATGGGAACAACAACAATTTCATGGTTTTATAAAAAACAATCAATAGTAACATTATCAACAATTGAAGTCGAATATATAGCTGTTCTACCCTGTGCTTGTCAAACAGTCTGGTTAAGAAAGATTCTTGATGAGCTTCACTTCAAGCAAGAATGACCTACTTTTATCTACTGTGATAATGAATCAGCAATTAAATTATCTAAAAATCCTGTTCTACATAGAAAAAGTAAACATATAGATGTGAAATTTCACTTCCTAAGAGATCTTATAAAACAAAGAGTAATTGATCTCAACTATTGCAAGAGTGAAGATATATATTTTACCGGCGGTTTGTGGTTAAGTGTATTTTTATAGTTTATCTCAAGTCAACCTGAATATACATACATAAGTACATACACTGAGACTGACACTAAAAAATAGAGAAAAACAGAGATAGTAAGAATTCATATGCAATTTCAATACGTAAAATTAAAATTCAAGTAAATTGTGTTCAAAGTGACTACTGACTTGGCTTGTTTAATATATCTTAATTTAAATATAAGAATTTTGATTGATCAATTTATTAATTAAAATGTCAACAAATGTTTTGAGAAAATTATATAACTGATGATATATATATAAAAAAAAAAGAAGCATGCAGCAGAAAACATTATAAAAATTCTGAATTTAAGTAGACAAATTTAATTAAAATTGGTATCTAAAACAAATTAGATGATGTTTTGGTTGACAAGGAATTAGAAGTTTCCAAGAAAGAGAAATGGAGAAGGATCAGTCAACAAGAAAGAAAACAAGTCAACCCAAAATAATAAGACGAATTCTGACACATGTCTGATTAAAATTTAATTTAATTTAAATAAAATAATATTCTTTTTTTACTTTCAACAAATTTAAGGTTAGAGATTTAATATATTATACTTTAAAGAAAATAAAATAAAATATTACCGTATCACAAAAGTTTATTATGTTATTTTTATCAATTTGAAAGTTACAGTAATATATATAATTTTAATATCAACTCATTCAAAATTTATGACAAAATAAATTTTTGTCCCCTTTTTTTTTATTTATATATTATAGTCTAAGTTAAGGGACTAAGCTTTTTCCCTTCGCCAACAAAGCTTTGTTTGTTTGACAAGGAAATGAGAAAAGTCTCCATGACCAACAGACAGGTGACGACAAAGTCAACCTGACTTTATACGCACGCACATATAATATATATATATATATATACATATACATACCCACATACGCCTCCACAAAGTACACATAGTTTTGTTGATAATTACTGAAGAAGAAAAGAAAGAAAGATCGATGAGTATAATTGGCAAAAGGAAAGAGGAGGAAGAAATGGAAGAGATTGAGATAGTAATAGCAGGTGGTGGCATATGCGGTCTGGCAACTGCTTTGGCTCTTCACAGGTTTCTTATAATTATTTTTAATATATAAAAAATATTTAACGTTTTATAAAAATTGAAACTCTATATATATATATATATATATATATAATATGTATAATTACTTAACTGGGATGCAGGAAAGGGATAAAGAGTGTGATTCTGGAAAGAGCAGAATGTGTTCGTGCGACGGGATCTGCCATCGGTGTCTTCCCAAATGGGTGGCGAGCTCTTGACCAACTTGGTGTTGGCTCTGATCTCCGCCCAACTGCCGTCCCACTTCTCGGGTATATCTCTCTCGCTCTCTCTCTCTAAACATATACATATACATATACATACAGATACGCATATATATATATATATATCATGCTCCACCTTTGGTCTCTTTTCTTATCTTTCTGTAAAACATATGAATTATGAATACACAATTTTTTTTTTTTCTCGAAAAGATGGGTATACAATATTTAACACCCACAATTGTATATACGAAAACAGGGTAAGGGATGTATCGCTTCACAACGGCAAGCGGCGTGAATCAACTTTTTCGCTTACCTCGTACGTTGACAAGCCCATATACAATATATATATAAGCTTTTCATTTTTCGTTGAAGATTATGTTTTTAAGAGGATATTATTTGACATAAACTACATATATTGTCAGAGTTGGGGAAGGTCGGTGCCTGAAACGGAGTGATCTAGTCAAAGCACTCGCCAATCATCTTCCATCTGGCACCATTCGCTTTAATTCACAAATCGTTTCAGTGGAGTTGGACCCTTTGTCTTCCTACCCTATTCTTCACCTCAAAGATGGAACAACCATTAGAGCCAAGGTATATATATATTATATACACATATACTGTAATACACATACAACAGAAAACATATTTTCTTAAATGTGTATATTTAACATTAATTAATTCCACACCTGGGTATATATAAATAGGTTTTGATCGGATGTGATGGGGCCAATTCAGTAATAGGTGACTTTCTGGGACTAAAGCCAAAAAAGGTATTCAGTTCATTGGCTGTGAGAGGTCTTACAGAGTTTGCAAACCGCCACGGATTGCCCATTGAGGGCGTAAGAATTAGAAGGGGCAACACCATGTCGGGAGGAGTTCCTCTCAACGATCACCTACTCTATTGGTTCTTACTTCACAAATGGAATCCTACCGGTAATTATTGTTAAATTTCAATCTCTACATGTTTAAAAACAATCGATCAAAATCTCTGAATCATGTTTTTGTTTATGAGTTTCGACTATAGATCTTGCAAAAGTGGCACATGATCCGGAGCTGATACAAAAAATGGCTATAGAAACATTAATCGAGCACAAATTTCCAGCAGAAAGAATAGAGATAGTCAAAAGGTGTGATCTAAATTCATTATCGCTCACTCACTTGAGATATAGGTCACCATGGGAGGTGCTGTTGGGAAACTTTCGGAAAGGGACGGTAACAGTGGCGGGAGATGCAATGCACGTGATGGGTCCATTTTTAGGTCAAGGTGGCTCCGCAGCCATGGAAGACGCAGTGGTGTTAGCGAGGTGTTTGGCAGGAAAGCTTGGTTCAAAACAAAAGATTGAAGAAGCTTTGGACGAGTATATAAAAGAAAGAAGGATGAGACTGGTTTGGCTGTCAACACAAACCTATCTTGTTGGCTCGTTGCTTGATACTTCCTCGTTAATTAAGAAAATCTTTATTATGATTTTCATGGCTCTGCTCTTCCGCAACCCAACTGCTCATGCCAAATATGATTGCGGACGCCTCTAATTCTAATAAATTCCGGATTTAACTTCAAATTTTTTGTATGAAAATTATAATAAAATGTATAAGTTATCCGTTAAATGTCAACAAATTATATGTTGTATCTTATTATTTCAGTGGTGAATTCTTCCCCAATAAATACTTTTCGAGTAATATTTATGTAAGTAAATTATAATACAAAGATTTGATGCATTACAAACAATAGAAATTAAAGGGGAATATCAAAGTTGGGTGTGAATGGATTTTTTGGCCTTCATTGATTGTGAAGTTTGAGTTTGTCAATTCGAGTCCAACTTTTCTTTTAGTAACTAACTATTCGCAATATATAATTATACATAAATTTGAAGGAAAGTCCACGACTGGTTTATTGGAAACGCACAACAATACGACAGGGAATCTGCTAGACATGTAAAAGAGAAGTTGTGGAGAATAATTACTGCATGACTTAGTATCAGTTGCATTGTCTTATGGAATTATGATTTACAAGAAAAAGAAGCTCTCTGGTTAAAAATGTTGCATGGAAAGAAAAAAACAAAGAGCAAGATTCGATAAATCTCAAATCTCAAAATGATAATTGATAATTGGTCCAAATAAAAGATATTTTAGATAGGCTGGGGACCAAGGAGGGGCAACGTAACTAAGCTCCAATTTGTTGACCATGGAAATTATAGAAGTCTACCCTATTAAAGACCGAGACAACTAGTCAAACCGACTTTATTATATATATCTGACTATTATATATACATACACCCAAACGCTCCCCTCCAAAAGAAAAAACTCATTTGTTAATTGCTGAATATCAATCAAAGAGAGAAGATAAATTAATATAGCGAAAAAGGAAGAAGAAAGAAATGGAAGAGATAGAGATAGTAATAGCAGGTGCCGGCATATGCGGTCTCGCCGTTGCCTTAGCTCTTCACAGGTTCGTAATATTTATCCATGTTTAATATAATTACTGTTCTCATATATGTAATGGGTATGTATATATATGTAGTATATAGCAGTAGTGAATATATAAATATTTATATACTTGGCTTATAATGTTAACGCAGGAAGGGGATAAAGAGTGTTGTTCTGGAAAAAGCAGAGTCGGTTCGTGCGACCGGCGCCGGCATCGGAATCCAACCAAACGGGTGGCGCGTCCTTCACCAGCTTGGCGTTGCCTCCACTCTACAATCTACTGCTCTCCCAATTCTCGGGTAATAGTTAATTTTTGCATATACATATTTGGATTGCATATATACTGTGTGTGCATACACATATATATTGACTGCATTATACAAACAGAGGGCGAGATATATCGATCCAAAACAACGGGAAGCGACGTGAATCGCCTCTTCTACCAGTTCCGTGAGTTGAAAACCATACCCTTTTCAATTTACTGATGATCACCATTATAAAAAAAAAAATTGGGTATATGTATGTGGGTTTTGTGTATACGTTTTCAGAAGTGTTGGAGAAGTACGTTGCTTGAAGCGTAGTGATCTAGTCAACGTGCTAGCTGGTCAACTTCCAACTGGCACCATTCGCTTTGAATGCCAAATCGTGTCAGTGGAGTTGGACTCTTTGACTTCTTATCCAATTATTCACTTGCAAGATGGAACCGCCATTAGAGCCAAGGTAGATAATATATGCATATATTATGTATGTAAAATAGTGATAAATCCAAGTCATGAAATTCCCTATTAGAGTCAATATAATACGAGCTATAAATTATATCGTTGAGTTGTCTGTATGTAATGAGTTTGCTAGAACTTAATTTGATTCAATCACAACAATATCATCCACACGCACTAATCATAATTTTTTAGTTCTGATGAATCTGACGTTATAAATCAGAATGTCTTATAATTATTTGTTATACAAAAATACTTTACTTTCCACAGCTACATAATTAATGCAATTATTTGTAGGTTTTGGTCGGATGTGATGGAGCCAATTCAATAGTTGGAAATTTTATTGGGCTAAAACCCAAGAAGGTGTTCAGTTCATGTACAGTGAGAGGTTTTACAGAGTATCCTAATAGCCATGGATTGCCAATTGAATTTATTAGGATAAGAAAGGGCAACACACTTTTTGGAAGAGTTCCTATTACCGATAAACTCGTTTATTGGTTCTTACTTCACAGGTGGAATCCCACAGGTTATATATCTTCTTATTCTTTTATACTAATCTTTGTTTTTTGCTTATTCATATAAAACTTTAATTAATGTCTTCGGGAGTGTCCTTGTTGTGGATTAGATGTGTCTGATTTTATGAGGGCAAGAGCTCGATCCTATAGGATCATGATTTCTGCATCTGATAGGATACTAAGGGATTGGAGTGCCACCATCACTAGCAGCTAGTAAATTTGCATCTTCCGAAGTGTAGCCAAGGATATATGTTGTAACTTTTTTTTTTTAAATTTAAAAGTTGATAGCTTAAAACAACATTTGCCACTAAAAGCAACACTCCAAAGATTTAAATCTTGTTGTATGTTGACTTACAGCTTTAATTACAGATATTTCTTATTACACTAAGGATATATGTTGCAACTCTTTTGTTAATTTTAAAATTAGCTAGCTTAACACAACATTAACCAATAGAAAATAACATTTGAAAGATCTAAACTTTGTTGTATGTTGACTTCTGGTCTTAATTTCAGATATTTTAAAGTGGCCCAAGATCCAGAATTGATACAACAACTGGCTAAAGACACTTTACTTGAATATGAGTTGTCAACAGAAAGCCTAGAGTTAGTGGAAAGGTGCGATCGAAGCTCATTATCATTCACTCACTTGAGTTATCGAGAGCCATGGGAAGTGTTGCTGGCCAATTTTCGAAGAGGAACAGTGACAGTGGCTGGAGATGCAATGCATGCAATGTGTCCGTTCTTGGGTCAGGGCGGCGCAGCAGCCATGGAAGACTCAATAGTACTAGCTCGGTGCTTATCAAAGAAGCTTAATTCAAAAGAGGGAATTGAGGAAGCACTTGACAAATATGTAAAAGAAAGAAGAATGAGGTTGGTACGACTGTCTACACAAACTTACCTTATTGGCTCATTGCTCGATACAACATCATTGATTAAGAAACTCTTCGTCGTTCTTTTCATGACTTTACTCTTCCCCAACCCAACTGCTCATTCTCGATATGATTGTGGTAGTCTTTTTTAACAAATTCTACCAATGTTATTTTTTAATTATTTTGATAACGAGTATATCCATATTTAAATTATTTATAAGTTGTGTTGTAGTTGAACTGATGCAACTTGTTGTTCTTCGATCTTCAGTAATATATATATATTTTATGTCATGAATCAGAATGTACTATTGTCACACTCAAAATCGTAAAGATTTTCATATGATAAAACAAAACAAGTACAGCATTAAAAGTTTTCAAGGAAATGGTCTTGTTGGGTCCTTCATCTAAAGCAAAGGAAAAAAGTTAGAAAAGAAAAACAAAAATAAACCTTCAGTCATGACATAAAACAATAACAGAAGAGAAAAATATAACAGGAATGACACTTGACTTGAAAAATATCTAGCTAATCTGCCTTGTTAACTTTATAACACAAATATTTGTTCAACTCTTTATCAACACCAATCATTACTCAGTTACTACAGGATAACTAATGTATACCAAAGTATTCGTGAAAAAAAAAAAAAAAAAAACATTTATAATGTTCTCAATTTCCAAAAAGAAAAATAAATCGGAATATGCACCACTGTTAACATATTTCGTATAAGAAGTTGATACATATGCCGTGCTACATTTTTATTGATAACATGATAAAAATCTTATCTCATAGATTTTATTAATAAATTCTAATTTATATTAAATTCTGAGTAGAAACATGACATCTCTTAATATCTTCTGAAATTTCTCAGTTTTTATTTATGTGATTGGGACTGTAACTATATGTATTGGCAAAACATTCATGAATAATTTTCATAAACATGAAAGAGAACTCATCATGCAATATTATTCACCATTAGAAACCACCTCCTTTTTACCTTTAACTTGCCATTGAAATTGCACTAGTGCTGAGCCAAGGTCTGGGTTTGCTTTCTAGGATTGCTTGCCAGAATTATATATTGCAATGATCTATCAACACCTGCCTAGCAAGATGTATTGCTCCGCTTTGTTTATAGATTAAGTGCAAATTGAAAGCTGCTTCTCTGCGCAGATCACAATACCCAGGCTTCTTATTCTCCAGCGTGTCCAGATTTTCATTAGGGAGTTTTGGGATAGGATAATCCCTCACCCTTGTTGCAAGAACCTTTTCATAGTATGATGCAGCCAGAGATACGAGTCCAACATGCTGAAAAGCTCGAGCTATGTTATATAGTGCCTCCTGCAAATAAACCATTGCTCATTTCTTTCACAAAGCTTGTTATTTTGATATTAGAAAATAACGATAAAAATAAAGGCAAATTATTAGTTTTTAATGCTATTATCTTGTATTTTTCTGGACTTTTTTATAATTTAATTTCCTTAACCTTAACAATTTTATATCAGCAAAAATTAAAAAAAAAATCAAACTGCGAGGTAGCAAATTGTTAAAAAACACAAGGATTGTACTGTAACTTGATAGGGTAAAACTGTAATTTATTTTGATGAGCATGACAATAACCAATATTAACAATAACAAAAACAACAGTAATAATATATATGGGAGAGCATAGCAAGAAAAAGAGACCTGGTTATTTTCACAAAGCTGCAAATTGTTGTAGAGGAATGCTAAACCTTGTACAAGACACTGGTGCTTGTTTTGAAGCCTAAAACCAAGGGCCAAGTTGATTAATGAAGTTCCTGGAGAGAGGGAGAACCAGTTCAGACACTGGGTAACATATATAAGCTTTAAATCGCCTACTAAGTAGAGGGGCAGGGGGAATAAACAAGAGCATACCAACACATAGATTAATTAAGGGATCATTAGGCAACAGTTTATATGCTTCAAGGTATTCTCTTGCAGCATCTTTGATGATGGCTGATCATAGTAAACTGATGGCCAGAAATGACAATGGAGGGGACACAACCTTTGTGTTTAACTCTCATGGAACGAAGAAACTTAGAATGCTGAGAATGGCTTTTTCCCAATCTACAATATCATAAAGAAAATGCATAGGAGTTAAGAGCTAAAGAGAAACAATATAATACATGTTAAACCTAAAGATGGATAATTGCAATCAAACAGATTGCAGAGACATACAAGAAAAACATGACCTGTAACGTCCAAAAAGAAATAGGAAAGATTTGCCAGATAAATTATCTCCTGATACAGTGGGCTGAGTTCCCACATTCATAAACTTCCAATATCTTGCTTAATATATGTTTAAATGACATTATGCTACCACCTAAACATAAAAGTGTACACACTCCAAAAAGGATTAATAACAAACTACCAAAACAAATACGTGTCAAAGGTCATTACCAGCAGAAGGTACAAAGTGTCAAATGAAGCGTTTATAAAATGAAAATGGCCAACTAACCATTTAATCCATTGTGATTTTGCTGTTTTTAGTTTCGGTACCTGTGGTCTCGTTTTTTGTGCGGATTCAGTGCTTATAGTTCATCTTTTTGTCATTTTACATAATCCTATTTTTTTAGGTTATTTTCTTCCAATATTTTGGATCTTTTTTCTTAATTCTATTTGTTTCGAGTTGAATTATGCACAAAAATGTACAACAACCCTCCAAGAAAACTACCAATTTTATGTAACATACCAAAAAGACAAACAATAGGTAGGTACTGAATTCACATAGGTAAAAGGACACAGGTAATAGAAGCGAAAACAATTAAACCATCACAATATTAAACTGTAGCTGACCCAACAAAAACCGTGTAACATACAGAAACAAGGGTTAATTATAGATATTTGCTTACTCCCACTTCTCATATCAACTGTCAAGATCCAACAAGAATTTTATCTAGATGTTGAATTCCACCAAATTTTGATCTTTCTTCGTCAATAAGATCAGCAAATATTGGCATAAAAGGTGAAATTCAAGCATACAGAAATCCGAGAAGTTAAAATCTACTTTCCACACGCATTGACGATCAAGAGTTGAAGCTTTTATAAACTTTTTTTTTTAAATTAAAAGTATATGATGTATATTAAATCAACAGCACCAAGGAAGTGTCACCCATTTACCAGATACTTACAACTCTCTTAGCATATTTATGACATTATCAAAATCCTTCAACCTATAAATGTCATAACCTAGAATCAAAGAACGAAAATAGTGTATGCATCTATCCCTAATGTTCTACATCTCTTCCTCAATCCCCTCATAAGTTCTAATATTCATCTCTTTCCAAACCACCCAAAAAGTAGTCAAACGAATTAAATTTACAGATTTTTTCTTTTGTCATATCTCATCCCTCGCCAACATTACAATAACCCAATTTACCCCTACTAAACCATATATCATTGTCTAAAGATTATACACCACCGGCAACCAAATGAGAATATGATTATAAGACTGCAGTTTTCTTGCACAGATAACAGCCAGTGACCATTGTTCTGCACCTTCTCATCAGAGCTTATCAATGGTCAAAAGAGTTGAAGCTTTTATAAACATAGTCGAAATCCACGTTTTAACGTACTAATTGCCGCCTGACCAGAAAATTAGTACTTATATTAGTAACTTGAAGTGCATTGCCACAAGCCAATTCACTCCTATCAACTGTGACACCAGTCTCATAACTACTGATTTCTGCTT